AACAGTGAGGGCAAAAGCCAAATATCTATATCAAGAGTTGCCATTAGGTAGGACGCTGGGTGGCCACGATAAGCCATAGGCATTCCAAAGTTATGAGGGATTTAAAAGAATGAGTGAGCCGGAGCCCCTGGGTGGCAGAGCCTCTGGGTGGCTCAGTCAGTTGAGCATCCTACTCTTGATTTCGGCCAGGGTCAAGATCTAGAGTTATAAAATTGAGCCCCCATGCCCAGTCCTAGCACCTAGCCCCTGCACTGATCCCCCACACTGAGCCCCTACACTGTGCCCCTGCACTGAACCCCCATGCCAGCCCCCACGTGTAGCTTGGAGTCTGCTTGTCCCTCTCCCTCCTGCTGCTTGAGCATGCATGCTCTCTCTTTCTCTCTCAAATGAATGAATAAATAAAATCTTAAAAAAAAAAAAAAAGAGTAAGTAGAGGAAGCTGGTGGGCTTATGGAAGAAAATGGTGCTGTAATCCAAAAAGGCAGATGCCTGAGGAGAGTGGTCTCTGCTCCTTGTCGATTTCTAGTTCCTGGTTCCTTTTCCCACGGGGCTCAGCCATACTATAGCTTTTGCTCTTGAATTCCTATGCCATTCCTGATTCCAGGATGCCTCGTGTTTATCTTTAAAAATTGATTCCCCTTTTCTTGAGCTAGCTCCAGTTATTTAATTAAAACAATTATTTGTATTTGTTACAGTCAGAATCTGCCCAAGTGGAGTGGCCCTACCAATCTTGGAGTCAAATGGTATTCAGCATCTCCTGGAGGGTTAGGAGATCCTTGTAGGAAACAGGATGTCAGGTGATCAAAGCCAATTCGATCTGCCCTCTAGGTACAAATGCACCAGGAGAGAATTAAAAGCAGTTTTCCTAAGAGGTCTCGACAGTGAACAGGCAGAACTGATAGACAGTTTGCCATGACTGTTTCCTGGGGAATATGTTGATCTAAGAAGTAAATATGGTCATTGACCACTCAAGTTGACCTGTAGGCTCTGTGTGCGAGGCCAATGTTCTTGCCTGAGGGGGACTTCCATTTTGAGTGCTATAAAAGCAAGGTAATCTCCCATTTGGATAAAGATGAAAGACTTGGAGGACTACCCTTTTGCCCTTCAATTTACCACAGAGAATAAAGGGTTTCTAGGCGGGATGAAAGAAGTAATTTAGGAAAGAAGCCAGGAAAAGGATTCCAACAGGAAGTGTCAGGAAGCTAGTTATTGGGGGAAGTTAGAGCAGAGGTGAAATAGGCAGAATTTGATGCCTGTGGTAGGGCAATGCTCTGAGGAACAAGTTGGGATTATCTGACCGCATCAAGGCCACCAAAGGGAGAGGGACCAAGGCAACCTCAGTGTGGGAGATCTTGCTAGAGCCAGAAGATATAAATGTAATTCAGGGAAATCTAGATTAGAAAAGAATATATATTTGTGCTTCAGAACTGAGAAGAGGGAGAATAACCCACTTTGCTCCTTTCAGGAAAGTGAGGTGGTACCATATACTTCCTGGGTCAAGGAAGGTCATGTTCTCGTAAAACAAGGAACAGACATGACAAAAGTGAACACAAATATCTGTAAGTTTAAAGAAAGAAGTAATATTCATCCATGCCCCACCACACAGAAAGAATCACCTTAAACAATTTAGTTTATTTTCTTAGCTTTTTTCTATGCATTTACTGAGTTGGATAAGATATATTGCTGATTTTAAGTGCCATTTCATTCAGGAATGTTCACAAATCACTTAATTTAGGAAGAGGCATTTAATGATATATAATGTCTATCTCTGGATGATTTATTGTCTGTCTTCATCCAAAAAAAAAAAATTCCAACAAGTTAGGTCATTTAACATGAAGCCTAAAGATGCATAAAAATAATTTCTCAAGTTCTTTAGCAATGAAAAAGTTCATTATGTCATTCTATGCAATACTGCTTTTGTGGAAAGGGAGAGAAAAGACCTTTTGTTTAGTAATTCTCTTGGCACAGGGTCTTTACTATGTAATAAGCTTAGCCATTGTTAGAAAAATCTGGACAAGAACAGCACCAGTTATTGTTATAAGTGATCATCAAATAAGGCAAGAGATTCCATATGAACTGGAGGTTAAAGGATATGGCTCAAGAAATATGTTTCTTGGTACTGAAAGAGGAATAGAACCCATATTCAGCTAAGTTAACACTTCAGGGCTGTGTCCCTTAGGATGTTTTTTCGACTGTAAGTGACAGAAAGTTCTGACTCATTTGTATTAAATAATAAATACTTATAGCATCACAGTGCAGGCCCAGATTTGGTTAATTTAGCAAACCAGTAATATCAGCAAGGACCCAGATTCTTCTCATCTTTTGGCTTTGCCATCCTAGGGATATTGGTGTGGTGGTGAGGCCAGCTCCTGTCACGGCTATGGGATGACTACAGCAGTTCCCAGACATGGCAGTAACCAGGGAAGAGGAGCCTGTCTTCTACGAGGTGTCTCTTTTGAAGAGAGGGGAAACTTTTCCCAGAAGTCTCCACCTACAGACTTCCCTTATGTCTTATGGGGGGGAGGGGGTTATGTCACACATCCATATCTAAACCAATCATAGACCGGAGGTACCCCAATCATGGCCCTCACCCTGTGTTTGGACATGAAACTAGCTTTCTTCGAAGCCCATGACTATGTAAAGAGATGGAGCTGAGCAAAACTGGGGTAGTACTAGAAAGGAGGAAGGGAGATGTTTGTAGTAACCAACAACATCTCTCACAAGGACTAAGTGGTCTCTGAGCTACACAAGGTCCCAGACGACAGACACAATCTACCGAATTTCTGAATATGGTTCCTAACTGTGTAAGGGAAGTCCTGCTCCTTTGTGCATGTGTGTTATTAATTCTGATTCTTTTATTACTTGGTCAGTGTATGTCTTCAAATAATGTCCAAGAAAAGACCATGGGCTGATCTACTTTCTGAGTCCCTGACTATGTGAAAGCATGTCTTTCTATTGCCTTCATTTATCAGTGATAACATGGTTAGATGTAAAATTATAGATCACAATCCTTTCCCATCAAAAGTTTGTAGATATGGTTGCATCATTTTCTGGCCGTTAGCACTGCAGAGAAGTCAGAGATGGGACTAATTTATGCTCCTTGTAAGTAAATTATTATTTTTTAACCTGAGTGCCGAAGGATTCTTTTCTTTATCTTCTCAATTTAAATATGTGCTCAAGATACATCTAGATGTGGGTCATTTTTCTTTAATTCTACCTAGAGTATGAGTCCCATCAGTCTGCACACTCAAATGTTTTTCATCACAAGAAAGCAGTTTTTAATTATGTCTGATTTGTCTCAGTTTCTCTTGTTCCTATCGTGCTTATTAGGTGGAAACATGTTTCTGTCCTCTGTCTACCACTTTCTCTCCACCATTATTTCTTCCTTCTGCTGTATATCATAGAAAAATATCTCAAGTATGATCTTCAGAATATTCACTTACTTCTCAACAGGACTAGTGCTACTCTTTACCCATTCCAATGTATTTTCATGACAAATTTTTTGATATGAAACTTATTATAGTTTTGGTATTGTTAATATTCTTAATTATCTAACCTATCTCTCCCTGCTATTCATCTCACTCTTTTGTCTTTGGGTCCCATCCTTTTCTCTGCGACTCTGTGCACTTCTTTCCCAGAAGCCATGTCTTCTTACATCTTTCTGAGGATATTACACAGTTTTCTAAAAATGTTTGCTGGTTCCCCTGCAGAAGGTCATTTTCAGAGGAATGTTTCTCATCTGGTCTTCTGTGTAATTGTTTTTCATGTTTCCAATGACAGTTTTTCTTTTTCTGATTACTCATTTTTTAATGAAAAGGCAAAAAAACAGTTTCAGATTCACCCACAGACAGGGTGTGTAGATTTTATTTGGTCCTATTGATTGGACACTTGGGTAATGATGGAATGTTCTCAGATTTATAGCTTGACAAGAATAGGTATCTGCCCAATTCTGATCATTTAGCTAGCATTCCTATAGTATGGCTCTGCTGTGCTGAGTTCCTTCCTCCAGGTCTGGTTCTATGATATCCTTCTCACTATGTACGGCAACTGGGACAATTCTTTCCCTACGCAGTGACAGCATTTTATTTTTTTTAAATGGTCAGAAATCCTCTATTTCTTGAGAAAAGGCAAGACTGTTCGCCAGTTGTTTTTTCCTTCTCATTTAAAAAGTTTAAGTAAAAAATTTCCTTCTAGATTTTAGGAAGTGATTTTATGTTGGTCTTGGCTTTTGGTGGCAAATGGGATTTTTATATTTGTGTCTTTCTGGGTACTTTAGAAAAAACTTAGGCAAGTTTCTACCAGGGCAGTTAGTCTGGTGTTGTTTAAAATCAGAAGTAAAAAAACAAATGTTTTAGTTGACCCAAACTGCATATGAGCCAATAATGTACTTGGCTGCTAAAAAAAGGGGGGGTGGCAGCAGCTATTTTAATATACAAACCAAGGTTCACAGTATTCTCACTGCATTCTCCCAGATGTAACTGGGAGTTTGGGGTCCACTTATGTCCCCTATTATTAATAAAACTGCAAACGTTTCTTGATAAATAAGAGCCAGTTCAAAGGTAGGATAACTAGGATGCTAGAAGTCTGCGTATCATGTTGATGGAGTGGAGGTAGTTAACTTAAAAAGAGATGATGTGGGTAGGGAATGGGGACGACCAGATAACTGTGATAAAATATTCAAATGGTGGTCATGGGAAAAGGGATTATATTTGTTCTGGTTTGCTTCAAAGAGCAGAACAAGGATCACTTGGAGAAAGCTACCACAAAGTGGATTTGGCTCAACATACAGTTAACTGGTGATGGAGTGGGCACCTCATAAAGAAGACCGTAAACTGCTTGATTCTTTCTGGAAGATCCTGGTCAAGAAGATCCTGGCTGATCACCCATCAAGGAAGCTGTGGGAGAAATTCTGATATTGAGTGGGAAGTTGGGTGATCCTGTGATCCGTATTTTAATGATCTTGGTTTTGGAGTTTCATCCCTGAGGTTTCTGCCTTTTAGGTTGGATGAGTGACTTGGATTCTCCTGCAAGGAAATCGCTGAACAATGAGAACTCGGCTGTTCCAAAGACTGGGCTCCATACAGACAGACAAGGCCCCAGGAGAGGTGAGTTCCACTTTCTCCTGGGCCCAACCATTCCCCGTCACACAGGAGTGAAGACTACTTCAGAAGCAGACCATGACCAAGCTTCTGTCGGGAGAGTGGAGAATGGGAGCAAACAGGTGGTTTATATGTCATCTCATGTAGTCCTCACCACGGCCTCGGGAGGCTGCTTCCCAGACCAAGAGCCTGAGACCAAAAGGGACCAGACAGCTTGCCAAGAACAAGAAGACATTCATTCATGGAGCCAGTGGAGGCCCCAGAATTTCCATGTAAGAGGGGCTCAGGGGCAGCAGTTGAGTTGGAATGAACACCTGGAACATTATCATGAAGCTGCATTTGCCTCATATGCATTTTCTAACAAAGCATTTAATCACATTTTACATTGTTGACGTCTGTAATGCTATTTTTATTTTGTCTTGGAGTGACTGGTGGGGGCAGTTGAAGATGGGGCTAGAGCCCCTCTGTCACGCCCCCCCGGCGCTCCTGGGCATCATGCAGGGCAAGTCAAGATTTGGCCCCTGGTCTGACTCCAAAGCTCATGCTGACCTCAGGGTGAGCAGAAAAACCTCTTTAAATGTTACTGGGGATTTGTTTTGTTGTTTTTGTACTTCATTTAAACTAATATAACTAAATAAGGCGGGAGAAAGCAGACCGCGTGATTTAACCTATTTTCCTGCAGACTCTCCAAATACAGAAAGCTGGCCTGGAGGCTGGCCCTGTCTTCACTCCAGCTCTATGCTGGCCCTGGACCCTCTGCTGGCCCCTTCCTCCGGCCTGCAGGTGCTGCTGCTTGCTACATGGGCAGGAGGATCCCCCATCTGCTGCTTCCCCAGGGGACACTGCGGTCTGTCTGGGTCAAGGCTGGAACTCCTTTTTTCCTTTCCTCTTACAAACAGAAATGCCTCCCATGTTTGTCCTATCGGGCTTGCAGTCCCAGATGTGTCAGGAGTTGGTTCCCGTAAAGCAGCCCAACCAAGGGGCTCTTCCACCGCATTACATAATGGCAGTCTTCACGTCATTTTCCATTGGTTTTGGACTGTGATGCATCGTCCTTTGGGGATGTGCTCAAGTTCAGGCTCCGTCAGAGTCAGGAGAGAAAAGCCCAACAGCAAAACAAGTGGAAAGTAAGAGAATACTGGCCACGTGGCCTTAGGGCTCTTCTGAAATGCCTGCCTGTTCCTGTGTTTTGTTCCTGGAAGGTTGTCAACGGTCTTCTTAATGCTAGTTCTGATGTTTTTTCCCTCATTATCAATCCTCCTGCCTTGTCTTTGAACATTTAACACTGTTGACCACTTTTTTTCTGCTTGAGGCTGCTTCTCCCTTAATTTCAGTAACCCTGCACTTTTGGAATTTGGTTTTCCTACTCACTCCTCTTCTTTCCTTAGCTGAGCATTCTGCTTCTGGATCCCCTTTGCCTTGCCATTCACTTTCAACCTGGCATTCCTCAGGGGGCCTCTGTGGTGAACCAGTTTTCAATTACAAATAGTTTCAAAAATTATAATGGCTCAATCACAAAAGAAGTCAATTTCTTACTTATGTATTAGCACACAGTGGCTTTTCCTTTTGGCAGGTGGATTTCCTCCACCTGGGGACCGAGAATCCTCATTCTATGGCTTCACCATCCCCCTAGACCTCTAGGGCCTCACTGTTACCTATATCCTGCCAGCCAAAAAAGGAAGAAAAGAATGAAAAAGGCACATCTGATTTGAGACTTTGGCCTGGAAGTGGGACGCCTGGGTGGCTCAGTTGGTTGAGGGTCTGACTTCAGCTCAGGTCATGATCTCAGGGTCCTGGGATCGAGCCCCATGGCAAGCCCCACACTGGGCTCCATGCTTAGAGGGGAGTCTGCTTCTCCTTTCCCTCCACCCCCCACCCCACTTGTGTGCGCTCACACACACTCTCTCTCTCTTAAATAAATAAATAAAATCTTAAAAAAAGACTTTGGCCTGGAAGTGACAGACATCACTTCTGCTCATTCTCCATAGAAGAAAACTAGTCATGTGGCCCCTTCTAGATGCAAAGAGGGCAGGAAAACATGGTTCATGTCTAGGAACCTCTTCCCCAGCAACAAGTCTATTCTAAGGTAGGGAAGATGGACTTCGGGACACAGTTGGCCATCTCTGCCACAGCCTTGGAGTTCTCTCACCAGACTCTCACCCTTGGTGACCTACTCATCCATTCTTCTCATTTCCTTCTTTACCTCAGCATTCTCCATCCAAAGCTGGCTCTCGTTCTGCCCATCCCCAGTTCTGTCAGTGGATCACCATTCTTCTGGCATCATCCATAATCCTTGCCTTTCCTCTGGGCTCCCATCCAGTGCCTCCCTGAGTCCTTGCTCATTCGTCCCTTTTTCTGTCTTCAACCTTCCACTTTTCTGATCTATTTAGAATGCTTCTGACAGGCTAATCTTTCTAGAACACTTTTATTATGTCACTGCCAAGAAATTTTCTTTAAGAACCTATGATTCCTCATAGCCACTTTAGAAACGTGAAACAGTTTTAAATAGTAACAGCCTATAAATAGTACAGCTTGTTAGACAAAACAGTTATTTTTTAATCTGAAGGGCAAGTTGAGTTCAGTGTGATGAGGTATAACAACCAACAGACAAGGAAGCAAGAAATCCTAATTCTAGCTTACTCTCTACCTCTAACCAAATCTCTGAGCCTCAGTTTTCATTTTGTAAAACTTAGAAGGTAGCCTTTTTCCTGTTTGAAATCCATGCACAGATGATCTCTTTTGGTTCCTTCCAGCACAATGATCAATAATTCCAAAACTACAACCTCCCCTGCCTAGTTTTTTAAGACCCTCCATAATGTGACCCCACTCTCTTTCTCCAGCTTAGTCACTCACACCTTCCTAAATGCTTTCTCTATTCTGTCAACATGTTTTCTCTGTATGTCCCAGGTGTGCTGAGTGTAATCTAGCCGAGCGTGAGTGCCACACCACTTTCCCTGTCCGGGATCTCTTCCCCCTGCTCTCTGCCCATCTAAGGCCCACCTATTCTGTAGGCACTGTCAGGAGCCAGCCTGGAGCATCTTGGAGGATTTGAGGCATTTAGAAGGACATTGCCACCCCACTGAGCTTGCCACTTAGGAGCTCCATGACATCAGTAACACATGTAAATTTTGCTTTGTAAAATGCCCTCACTACATTATTTAGTCCTGTGATTGCTTCATGAGTTAGTTTTGTTTCCCCAGGTAACTGGCTGACTGGTTAGATTAATTGATGATTGATTGGTTGATTGATTTCATCAGTCAACAAGGCTTGGCATAAGGTTGAACCATGTGAAGTTGCTGATATTTGACTGCTTTTGACCTACAAAGAAATGGCAATTTCCTAAGTAAACCTGATAAAGTATTCTAAAAATATTTGTTATTCTTTCCACTCAACTTAGTCCAATCCTCCAACACAGGGGAAGCCAACATCTGGGAGTAAGAGTCAAAATCCTTGTGGATGTGATTGCTACATTTTCTTTTGTTGGTCATTTTCTATGCTGTGATTTGGGGGAAAGAGCTACCCCTGGAGGAGTGGCACATTTTCTCTCTCTCTGAGGTGGGCCTACGCTTTCATCTGCACTAGACCAAAGGTCTGTGAGATTTGGAAGGACAGATTTTAGACCCAGGTCTTGGCAACTGGGCCTCCCCACCTTAACTTTCCACAAAGGAATCAGAGTCACTGAGTGAAGACCTTAGGAATCCAGATCCTTTCCTTGTTTCTTTTTTGTCCCTAGAATTCAGTCCTTGTCAGAAATAAATAACATGGCCACTCTGTAGCACATGCAGGGTTTTGGCGGGAGAGATAGCATGAGTTTTGGAATCAAGCAGACCTGCCTTAAAATCCTATCACTGCCACTTATTAGAGATAAACTTGGACAAGTTAATTTCTTGAATCCTCAATTGTGTCATCTGGAAAAGGGGGATGAAAATGGTTAACTAACAGAGACAAACCTTTTTTGTTAAGAATCCCTTCAGGTGAAAGGACGCCTGGGTGGCTCAGTCTGTTAAGCGTCTGCCTTTGGCTCAGGTCATGATCCCAGTGTCCTGGGATTGAGTCCCTCATCGGGCTCCCTGTTCACTGGGGAGCCTGCTTCTCCCTCTGCCACTCCCCCTGCTTGTGCTCTCTCTCTGACAGATAAATAAATAAAACCTTGAAAAAAAAAAAGAACCCCTTCAGATATTTTACTTAAAATATTTGCCCTTTTTACTGCAATAGCCCAAAGCTAGTGGCTCATTCAAGACCTGAGCTCTTGCCTTTCCTCTTATCCATGTACTCATGCTTCCCACCTTGAATTCTTCCTGAGCTCCTCCTGCACAAAAATACTAAAATGGGATTTCAGTATAACATTGGGTTTTTTTAATTATATGGCTCATTTATTACATGGAGCAAATCAAGTTCTAGAATTACATTGGGAAAAGCCACTTACCAGCCTGAGTCAGCAACGAGGGCCTGACTTATGGGTATACATGACAATTATTCAATGAGAACTTTTAAGTTTGTATTATCTCACAAATGAAGCATGGTATCTGTGGCTATTCTTCCTAAACCAGAGCTTGGGAGGCTGAGGAGCAGAGGTGTGCCTTGTCTAAGCTCCCATGGGTCAAGCTTGGGGGTCTCCTGAATCCCAGGGTGGGATGGTGACTGCAGGCCATCCTCTCCCCATGGTGGCTGGCCTCGAGACTCCCTGGACATCTCAGCCCTCCCCTAACTCCCTCAGGCTATCACTTGCAAAGTGATACTGGCAAAGGAACACTGCCAAGTTGTGCTTTTGCAGAGGAGGGGAGGCTCTGATCTATCTGTGCAGGCACTCCTTCATTCATCCTGATTTTTTTGCTATTTGACAGAGCCAGAAAGTAGAGCAAGTCCAAAGTGTCACTGGCATCTCAAGCCTCTGGGATTCCCTTGTGGGCTCAGGAGCTGAGGGATCCCAGAAAGGCTAAAGCTTTTCTGCCATTTGCCTGCAACTGGGTTGATGACATGGGTTTCTTCCAGGTCCCCCACATGTTTAGGGTGGGTCCAACTTACACTTAAAAGGATCCAGCGGGTTCCCAGTCTGGTCCACACCCATAATTCCTGGAGTTGAGTGACTCAGCATTTTAGAAGATACCTCTGTGCTAACTCACACCTCCTCCCCAGACCCCGTCATGAGGAAAGGGTGTTGCATGCTAAGGGCTGTGTCACCTGTGGGCTGGGAACACATTCTGGGCCTTTCCACCGCAGCTTTCACTTAAATCCTGGGGTTCACAATGCAAGCTGGCATTCTGCTACCCCGTTTCCAGCCAGACTATGGTGACATTGCCACAATCCATGAAGACTCCTTAGTGGGTCATGGACCTTGACCACCCTCTCTCCTTAGCCAGTTTTAAATGTGTTAACTAAAGGAGAGAAGAAGTGTAGATGGTCTATATAGAATTTGGGGTAAAGAAGAGTATCTACACAGCCCGGAGGCCGACCTGCAGGAGACCGTGGACCTGGCTCTCAGTCACACACTAAAGGTGTGTGCACACAACAACCCTCAGTCAAAGGGTCTTCCCGGAGTCAGTCCCTTGTGCTCGGGTACGATTGAGCTCTGGACCTTTAAGCTGAGTAGCTGAGTTCTGTTCCAGTCCACCAGTGACACAGCCCCCGAATGTGAAACAGCCTCCCCTGGGGGGTGATTTAGCACTGAGGAATCTTCCGAAGCCCTGAGTCCAAAGTCTCCTCAATGCCTCAGCCATAGGCATCTCAAAATACATGCTTCTAGCTTCAGCTGAGCACAGGCCATGGATACCGAGTACAAGAGTGTGACCCAGACATGGCGAGGACTCTGTGCAGAGCCACACTGACATTAATAGATATTCCCTACTGGAACTTCTCGAGTGGAAGAGCAAATGCTGAATGTGGGCAGAACCGTGGCAGTTTGATGATTTCCAAAGTTACCATTATTTATATATTTATATATGCATTTATATATAATTTATATATACATTTTGCATGTAGTGAGGTGGATACTACAGGGCACAAGTTTTGGAAACAAGACACAGCTTTTAAGCAGCTTCTCGTCTTTCACGTATATGTGCCGACCTGTGGCTCACAATATATGTTTACTGCTATATTTTTATAATATTAATAAACCACAAGTTAATGTAAATGTCCACTTACAGGAGAATGATTAAGTCAATTGTTACACAATGGGATAATCTTTAGCAGATTAATGATATAGAGAAATACGATATCTTGCTAAGTAAAAAAAAGACTAAAATATTATATGAACTGAATTTTGAACCTGTCCCCACACAAAACCAACAAAAAGCAATGTATAATATACATACATTTTTAAAAAAGATTTATATTTATTCATTCATGAGAGACAAAGAGAGAGAGAGAGAGAGGCTGAGGCAGAGGGAGAAATAGGCTCTCTGCTGAGCAGGGAGCCCGATGCGGGACTCGATCCCAGGAGCCCAGGATCATGACCTGAGCTGAAGGCAGATGCTTAACGACTGAGCCACCCAGGTGCCCTACATACATTTTTGTATACTGAAAAATACTAACCTGATATATACCAAGATTTATGTAGTTATCTTTCTTCTTATGTTTTTCTACAGTGGTTATGTACTAATCTTACAATTTAAAAATGTTATTGCTTTTTAAAAAGGACACTTAGAAATTGTTTATTTTGGAGACTTAGGGGGAAGACTCTGGTCCTTCTACTAATATGTGCACACTGTGCACTGAACTCAAGTGCTGATAACGTGAGCCGAGTCCAGGGGACGCAGGCCAAGGACGCCGGTCACGGCTGCACCCTTCCCCTTCATATCCCTGAGCTGATTAGTCCCCAGATCAACCAATGAAGTCAAACCATACACTTTGTTCATAAGCAGCGTCACTCACATTCTTAACATGCGCTGTGGAGCATACAGCCTGGGAGGGGCTCCTTCTCTGCTTTGCTGCCCCTCTGTGCCTGGAGCCCATCCACACTCAGGGATGAGTAGGCAGCACCTGCTCAGGAGCTCCAGCACCTGCTGGTGGCCGGGGTCTGCCGACCCACACTTGTACCCTTAGAGGCAAAAGGTCCTATTTATCCTCACCTGAATACCCTAACCGAATGAACCCTAAGGGCAAGCTGGAAGGGTAAAAGGAGTCACAAGATGGTGGCATTCAGCCCAAAAGGTATGGAAAAGGTGGGATGGCAAGGTGCCTTGTGGAGGGGGGAGAAGGAGAGGGATGTGGGGTTCCTGCCAGCTGTGTTCATGGTGTTCCAGGTATCTCTCACATCAGCTGAAAGCTCTTCTGATCCATTGCCCAGATACTGGCCATAGTAAAAATCGCCCTCCTCTGCCCTTCTAGAGGGACAAATCATAAGGCCCAATCCCTTTTGGACATGTGTGTCACCATGTCTTGGCTTCTTTTTTTTTTTTTTTAAGATTTATTTATTTATTTGTCAGAGGAGAGAGAGAGAGAACAAGCAGGAGGAGCGGCAGGCAGAGGGAGAAGCAGGCGCCCTGCTGAACAAGGAGCCCGATGCGGGGCTCGATCCCAGGACCCTGGGATCATGACCTGAGCTGAAAGCAGATGCTTAATCGACTGAGCCACCCAGGTGTCCCCATGTCTTGGTTTCTGAAGGATTTGACCCTCTGGGTGATTTATGGAATTTGACTTTGAGGGCCTAGAGGGCACATGAGCCGTGCAGGTGCTAAGTGAAGAGAATGAAAACAACAAAAGATACCACTTATTCATTCATTCATTTGTTCATCTACTGCATATTGACTGTATACTATGTGCCCTTGGGTTACAGCAAGGAACATGGCAGATGAGGACCCCACCCTCATGGAACTGGCCTTCCAGGGTGATGGGAGAGAGACGATAAGCAGGCCAACAATAACTTATAATGGTAAGTGTAATAATGAAACTATCACATCAAGATGTGGTAGAGAGTACCTGAGGGCAGGGGTGCAGGGTTCCTGTAGACCGCCCACTGTGTCCATCAGGGGCCCTGGAGGGGAGAGAGGGAAATGATTCTCAGTAAAGTAGGAGGGCGCCCTTTGGCTGTGTGTATATGTGGTCATGTCCTGGGGCTCTCCCCTTCAGCCTAAGTTTTTCTCTTCCTTAAATTTGTCTCACTTAATGGTAAGGAGGACTCCTGGGGTCGATTTACATGTGGGTCTTTTAGAGAAAGGAAGGAGTCAAAGAAGCACTGGGGTCCCAGGTAGAGGGAGAAGAAAGCAGGTGTCTGGCATGATGTGTCCTACACCCTCTTTCCCCTGCCTCAGAGTTCAGCTTGATGAACTCCTGTCTGAGCTTTCTGGAGAGAGGCTGCAGACTAACGCAGGCAAAACTTCTATCACTGAGGACTCCGAGGGCCACAGGGCCACAAGCGTTCTGGTTGTGAACAGTTGTATGGGTGTGTGTCCAGTATAATAAATGCTCAATGATGCTAATTATTATACTACTTTTTAAATGACGAAATAGGAGACAGAATTAGGGAAGGGAACATCCCATTCAAATGTGGCTAATGTAGAGGTTCCTGGGCATCTAGAAGGCCCGAAGCTCTGGGAGGATCCAGGGCCTCTCCACGCTGTGTAGACATCAGCCTTCTCACACAAGAGCCACTTGAAGAAGCCAGGATGGCAGCCAGGGGCAGGACGGGGACCTTACCAAAAGGTGGAAAGAGGGAG